CTAAGTGGTAGAGGGTTTATTGTATATTTTTCTGTTATTTCGCGTGGCGTGAAAGCCTTGGAGTGAAAATTAAATGTTACCAAACCCCTTCAGGAGATGGGTTTCCCAACCACCCTCTGAATCAAAGACATGGCCAGGAATATTCTCCAAAGTGTGGAAACAGTTGGCAGCCTTAGGCTTTTGGTTTTTTGGTGGTTTTTGTAACATGTTCTGGTTCTGCTGAATTCTGAACTCTCACTCAGTGAGCCGAGTTCCCCACAGAGCTGAGACAGGAGTGCAGGGGGAATATGAGTGGGCTGTGAGCATCCTGAGCCACCTACACTGCAGCCTGAACCTCACATGTGGTCTCCTTCTGATCTGGCACTGCTCAGCTGGGGTTCAGGGTTTGGGGTGTTTCAGAAAACACAGTAGGTTTTGCTTTTACCCTTTTGCTTTTCATGGGTGCTTCTCCACAGTGCAAAGCACCGAATCCCCACAGTCCTGATTTTGGCTGGGAGGCTTCCAATTTTGCAGCCAGCATGAAGCACCCTTTCCTGCAGTGGAAGCACCCACTGCCACGATTGTAACACCAAATATTCCGGTATACAAGTAAAAATATTTGCTCATCCTGGCAGGACCAGAGCAGCAGCCTGGCCAGACCTCTTCTCTGCACAGGCTGGTTTTTGTTTTGGCAGTTTTATTGCAGAGGCAGGGACAGTCCCACGTTTGATTTACAAGCAGCCATTTTTTCCCCTAATCGGGTGGATATTTTCAGCCTGTGAGCTGAGCAGTGTTGTGCCAGAAGTGAACGTCACGTGAGCTGGTTCGCCCTGGGTACAGCATGTAAATAGCTGACAGCAACCTGACAGCCTTCCTGCCGCTGAAAGGAGAGAACGCTGCTGCTGCGAGACCCTCTCGTGTTCACGGGCTGAGCCCGAGGCTGGATGTTTCCCCGGCTTGAAGATGAAGCATCTTCGCCCTCCCTGGGCGGTGCAAGGGAAACGAGCTGTGGATTTCCAGCGTGTGGCTGCCCATGCACACCCCGGCAGCGTGGCTGCGCTGGTGTCTTCTTGCCGGGGATGCTTCCAATCAGGCTTTGCCATGGTTTTAATCCTGGATGCGGGAGACCTGCAGAGCGGGCAGGCGAGGGAGGGTTTGATGTCTTCCCTTGCTGGATCTCTGACTTTCCAAATCCTGCTGCAGTGGTTTTAAGCCAGACAGTGGGAAGTGATCCGTGTGCAGGGCCTGTCTGTAAGCAGAGAGGTGTCTGTGCTCTGCTGGGGCAGCTCTTGGCTCACAGGTAGGAACAGAGGCTTGAGCTGTACATCATTGCCACAGGGGTCTGTCCCTTAGCCTGCAGCCTTGTTGTCTCTGTTCCCAAACTTCCCAAGCATTTGAAGAGGACCATGTCATTTATTCCGGTGGCTCCATCAGAGCAGGAGCTGTCACCTCCCTTCCAGCCTGAGCTCATTCTTGGCCAGTTTCTATAAATGTGTCTCTGTGTCAGTACTGTTCTTCAGCTCCACTTTATTTTTTTTCTCCCCATGCTGTTTACTTAGTCCCGGGGGTATTTATGGCTGATCATGAATCACCTGATAGCTTCTTTTCTCCTTCTAGGATAGGACACCCAAGCCCCCTCCATGCTCTCACTGTGGCAAAGGGTTCCCGTGCCCTCAAACAGCCTCTGAGCCTTCCCTGTGCTCCCTCCTATCGCGGTTTGGGTTTCTTGGACACAGCAACCAGGTCTGGGTGCTCAAGTCTCCTGGGGTCTCCTGCTGCCTCAGCCTTCCTCTACCTCTGCTAAACACGTGGCACTGATCCAGGCTGCCTTGTTTTCTTTGGGCTTTTGTTTGTTTGTTTGCATTGGCTTAAATCCACTTTCCAGCTGCTGAAGCGTTTGACCCTTCTCCCACAGCCAAGTCTGAGGAGTTTCCTCTTCCCACCCACCCCAGCCTGCCCTTTCACAGGGGTGCTGTGGTGGGTACACGTCCCTCTGCTTCCTCTGGGGTGTTTACCTGCCCCAAGTGCTATTTTCATCTCCTTTGGCTGAGAAAATATTCCCTGTAATGATTCTAGGGATACATGGACACCTCCTCTGGACCAGGACCTCACTAATGAGGGCTGGGCTTATGGCAGGACTAGAAATCCCACAGAAGGATGCTGTGAAAATAAATTTTATAGAAAAAGAGAGCAGAGCTCTGGTGAGCTCGGGTGTGAAGCTGCTCTTGTGGCTGGTGATGATTTTACTTTTATTTAATGAAATTTGGCTGCATCCCCAGCAGTGTGACCAGCAGGTCCAGGGAGGGGATTCTCCTCCTCTCCTCTGCTCTACTGAGGCCCCACCTGGAGTGCTCTGTCCAGCTGTGAGGAGCCCAAAATGAGAAGGACATGCATCTATTGGAGGAAGTCCAAAGGAGGCCATGAAGAGGATCAGAGGCTGGAGCACCTCTGCTGTGGAGGCAGGCTGAGAGGGCTGGGGGTGTTCAGCCTGGAGAAGAGACTCCAGGGAGACTTTATAGCACCTTCTGGTGTGTAAAGGGACACCAAGGGAGCTCAAGAGGGACTTTGACAGGATAAAGGGGAATGGCTTCCCACTGCTAGAGGGCAGGGTTAGATTAGATATTGTGAAGAAATTCTTCCCAGTGAGGGTGGTGAGGCCCTGGCACAGGTTTCCCAGAGAAGTTGTGGCTGCCCCATCCCTGAAAGTGTCCAAGGCCAGGTTGGACGGGGCTTGGAGCAACCTGGGATAGTGGAAGGTGTCCCTGCCCATGACAGGGGGCTGGAACTAGATGATTTTTTTAGGTTCCTTCCAACCCAAACTGTTCTGTGGTTCTATGAATGAGCTGACTGGGTGCCTGCTCCCAAACTGGCCTTTTAACGAGGGAAGAGCAGCTTCTCTGCTCCCTCTTTGATCAAGGGAGCAGGACAGGTGGGATTTGCAGGACAGGTGGGTTCGCAGGACGGATCCGGTGCCTGTAACCGCGGCAGAGGAGCAGTAGCACAGGAGCTGTTACCGACACGGCTCCGTGTGCCCGGCTGGGCTGTGCGGGCAGGAGCCGCTCTGCTGTCGCACAGTGAGAGCGCTGCGGCTCCTCCGGCTGCCGCCCGGGGCCGGCGGAGACCGGCACCGAACCCCGCGGGGCCGGGCGGGGCAGCGGCCGGCGGGGCTCATCCCGCATCACCTCCCGCCGCCGCCGTCCCGTTTCTCTCCCTTTTCCCTGGAAGGCGGCGGTGCCGGTGCGTGTCACGGTCCCCGCGGAGGGTCCGTGCGTGTCCCCCCGGTGTGTCCCGTGCCCGCCCCGCACAGCGGGTGTTGTGTCCCGGGGGCGTGTGGCCGTCCCGGGAGAGACCAGGTGCGGCCCGGGGCGGGGGTACGGGGCAAAGGGACCTGGGGGATACGGGAGGAGGGGGATATCGGGGAGGGTACCTGGACACCGGGTGGGGGGCACCGGGTGGGGGTACCAGGGCGATCCCGAGGGGTATCAGGGGGAGATATCGGTGGGTATCGGGGGAGGGGGGACACCAGGGGAGTACCGGGTGAGGGGTATCAGAGGGTACCGAGGGGGGAGTATCGGGGGGAGATACCGGGGGGTACCAAGGGAATCCCTGGGGGCCCGGGGGGAGATATCGTGGGGTCCCGGGTGGGTTCCCAGGGGCAGATATCAGGGGGTCCCGGGTGGATCCTGGGGGTCCCGAGTATCCCGGGGGTCCCAGGGGGGTTTCCAGGGGGTACTGGGGGCAGATATCGAGGGGTCCCGGGGGGGGTCCCGGGTGGATCCCGGGGGGGTCCCGAGGGCAGATATCGCTGGATCCTGACTGGATCCCGGGGGGGTCCCGGGTGGATCCCGGGGGGATCCCGGGGGGGTCCCGGGGGCAGATATCGGTGGATCCCGGGGGGGTCCCGGGTGGATCCCGGGGGGGTCCCGGGGGGGTCCCGGGGGCAGATATCGGTGGATCCCGGGGGGGTCCCGGGTGGATCCCGGGGG